CACACACACACACACACACACACACACACACACACACACACACACACTCACACACAATGCCCCCCCACTTTCCATCTCTTGCTCTGGAAACACTCACCAAATCAACTGCCTTATGGTTCTATCTCCATCCCTCTGATTCCTATGGCCAAAACCCCCTTACTCAGCCACCATTCCCTGCTATGTGTTGTCTCCTCATCTGGGACAGGGACTGCCTCCCTTTTGTATTTGTTTTTCCAGCACTTAGTGAGTACTTGATGCATAGTAAGTATTTAATAAATGCTCCTTTATTTATCCATTATGGAAGCCATGATTAATGGTACACAGGGTGATTCATATAAAAATAGTATCTGCTATGCTCCCCTCTTGGTTTAAATGTTTCTCACAATGGGGGCAGGGGCACAGACTGGAAAAGACTTAACTAGCAGGCAGTTCTTGGGGCCAAAATATAACAGGCTACTCTTGGACCTGGCACACTGGCTCTTCTCACCAGTTTTCTCTCATAGACCCAATTGAGCTCTAGGGCTCCATTCCAGTTATTAAAGGCTATGTGCACCCTGATGAGAGAGGCAGGATGTACAGTGCCAAAAGCAATTCCCCTTCTCTCAATGGAGCAGCCACAGCCTAAAGATTCAGAACCTTGGGCCCCAGTGAAAACAAAGCTCTCTTTGCTTCTGATATCAATGGAAAAACATCCCAGGTCCCAGTAAGGGGCTGAACTCAAGCTTTGTCCTCCCAGTTAAAGGTCAATATCATCTTGCCAGGGTGAAGTTTCCAGATAAGAAAATCATCTCATTTGAGCCTAAAAGAGTGCCCCTTTGGTAGGGGAAAAAGAGAAGCCAACCAACTTGTCCCACTCTCTAACTAAAACAAGTAACCTCACTTGGAAAACCCACACTAGGAGACAGCCATCCTCTGGGGGATTTTTAGAATGCTAATGACATGGGCTGGCCTTGCCTGGGAAGTGGAGAACAAAGAGCTAAAACGAATCCATTTTCTGTCACACAACTCTAACGATATGGATAACATGTAAAGTCATGCCCACTTGAAACACTGGGAATAGGGGAGTTACATAAAGAATAATTGGGTGGGTAGGGGTTTTTAGAGGTTACCTTGTTTAACCCCTGCCCCCAGGCGGACCCAGTGATGCTCAACAACTTACCTCCTGCACTGGTGGAGCAAGAGGATTCTTGAATTCTGATAAAGAAACTGGCAATGAGAATTTGGCAAGAACAGATGGCAAATCGTGAGCAGGAAACTGCCGAGAAAACTGATCAGCCAGTGGAGAATATCTGTTGCAAACAAGAATAAGAAACAATCATGTCTCTCCGCCAGAAATGGACACAATAATACTCCAGATGTCTGACAGAGGCAGAATACAGTGGGATGAGAACAGGACTGCATAACATATGGCCTGAGGGTCGCTTGCGGCCCACCAAAGGAGTTCAGGTGGTTGTAACATGACCAATGGCAACCAAGCATTGTCAATCTATCTCCAGTCTAACCTATCTGTGGCCCGAAGAAGTTTAGCCTATTTTAATTTTGGCCCCTACCTACTGCCAAGTTGTGCAGGTCTGGATTAGAATCTTCTTTGTTCTGGATATTGTGCTTCTTCCTGTTAATGTAGTCTAAAGTGATTATTAGCCTTGTGTTCTTGGCACATTTACTTCTCCTACTGTGTTTTCCGGTCAAGGGCATTCCAAGCTGCTCTCTTTAAAGATTAGAAGTCCTGGGTAGGGGCTATGCATGAAGGAGAATCCTTTCTTGGTGTGGAGGTTGTCAGAGCCCAACAAAACATGCAAGTTTCAGGATGGAGCTAGGAAAATTCAAACTTTATGGCTTTTAATAATCTTATCATTAAGGTTCTCTGAAGGTAAAGTGAGATAAACAAATTCTATCCTAACTCAAACATGCCAGCACAATGGAAGGATCTGCAGAACAGGAGGGTTCTGCATCTTTAAGAGTGGGACAGTGGACTCTGTACATCTCTGATTTTTCTCCTCTTCCCCCTTCACTAATACTCTGCCCCTTCAGCTAACCATATTTTGCTGGGAACCTTCCTTGTGTGTCTTAGCTTCAGAAACTTCTGTCCTGTGCATAAGATTCCCCATAGCCAAATGGGATCACATAACCATAAAACTGAGACTTGGAAGAGAGCTAGAGGTCATTTAGTTCACTTTATACCTAAGTAGTTAAAGCAGTCCAGCATATGTCCAATGTCCATTTGAAGCCCTTCAATGAGAGGGAACTTCTACCACCCACCTCTGATTCTCCCCAGACAGCCTATTCCACTCTTGGATGGAGTGAAAATCTGTCTCACTATGATCTTCTTTAGTTGGTTGCAGTTTTGCCTTCAAAGCCCAAGCAGAACAAGTCTAATCTCTGTCTTACATGAAAGCTCTTAAGACTATGTGAAGACAGCGATAATATCCCCTCCTAAGTTTTTCTTCTCCAGAATAAATATCCACCATTCCTTCAGCCCATCCTCATATGGCATAGTTTCCATTCCATTTACCTTCAAGCTCTCCACACACTCTAAGTTATTAATATCCTCCTAAAATTTAGTGTTCAGTATTGTACACAATATTTAAGATGTGGTCTGATGAGGGAAGATTACAATTAAACTATTAACTGTTTCATGATGGACACTAGAATTCTATTGATGTGGCCTAAAATCACACTAGCTTTTTTAGCTGCTAATTCACAAGTTTATAGCTTACTAAAAAAGTCCATAGTCTTCTTATGAATGCATCTGGCTACATCTCTCCCATCCGCATATATGCAGTTGGATAGTTTGTTTAAACTCAAAGCTCATACTATGTTTATTCTTTCTAAATTTCATATTATTAGATTTGGTCTATTGTTCTTTTCAGAACTTGATTGCATCAACACATTTTTCCCAGATTCATGTCATTCTCAAATTTGATATGAGTTCTTTATGTCTTCATGCCCAAGGAAAGCTGGGTAAGCCGGCCTAGTTGAAGCAGCAAAGCACCCTGAGGGAGAGACAGGAAATAGTATGTGCCAAGGAAGTCAAAACACTTATACCACCTTTACTACTATCCTCAAACCCTGATGGAGATAGCCCAGGATCTTGAATGCAACAGCCTTGGGAATGGCTGTGTCCTTAAAACCACCAGACTTGCTTCCCACAGCCATCATTGAGGAGAGATATCATTGTGTAAAAGAGGCCACCTCATCACCGCCAGCAACAATTACTGACTAAATGTCACCAATTAGTACAGGAGCCCTAGACGTGGCAGGACCCCCATTGCTCCCAAGGCCACCAGTTCTGCTTCCAGCACAGTCCTCACAGCCATCACCTAGGGATGCAACTCCTGTGGAGAAGGGGCCAGCCACATACAGGGTAGGTAAGCTAGTCTAGCTGAAGCAGCAAGGCACCCTAAGGGAGAGACAAGAGGCAATCTATGTCAGGCAAATCAAACTACCACCACGATCTTGACCACCATATCTCTCCTCAGACCTAGACTGAGATAGCCCAAGATCCTGAACCCAAGAGCTTTTGGAATAATAATGCTTCCAGCCCATTGTCCTCAGCCCATCATCCTAGGAAACAACCCCAGTGGAGATGCAACCTGGCAACTGCTCCTGCAAGTGTTACAGCAACACTTACTGAAGACCCAGAAAAGAAAATTCTTGTCACCAAAGTACTTGACACTATCAAATGGTTCAACAATAGAAACTGATAGGATTTTATCAGTGGAACCTGACATTAAAGAAGAGGAGTTACCATCTGCTTTGCTGAGATACCCTAAGGACCGTGGGACTTTCCCAGCTGACTTGTGGCCAATACTTTCTATATACGTTGTCTCCTCCGTTAGAATGTGAGCTCCTTGAGAGCAGGCACTGTCTAACTCTTCTGTCTTAGCACAGTGCTTTACCCGTTTTGTTGAGTCGTTCCAGTGGTGTCTGACTCTTCATGACCCCATCTGGGGTTTTTCTGGCAAAGATACTGGAGTGGTTTGCCGTTTCTTTCTCCAGCTCATTTTACAGATGAGGAAATTGAGGCAAAGAGGGTTAAGTGATTTGCCCAGGATCACACAGCTAGTAAATGTTTGAAGCCAGATTTGAACTCTGATTCTCTTGACTCCAGGGCCTACACTCTATCCACTTTAACACCCTGCACACTTTAATTGCTTAATAAATAATTTAATTAGCATCACTACCACACTAAAGACTTTTCTCCATGTAAGCATTGATATATTTATAAATGTATCACTGACATATTTATCAGCAGTCTTTGGGTCTATTCAAATAATTTTAACCTTCAACTCATCCTCAACCCTTCCCTCTCCCTCAGTCCTCATCTCTGGCTATATCTTGTGAAGTTTACTGCCACAATGTATCCCACATCTGCTTCTTTCTTTCCACTAATACAGCCACCATCTTAGCTCAAGTCAAGTTCAGGTTTTTCATTTCTTATCTGTACTGCTGCAGTAGATGCTTAACAAGTCTCCCATCTTTAATCTCTCTCCTTGGTAATACACACTCCATACTCCTGTCAGATTTACATCCCATTTTTGTTTAGTTTTGGATTTTTTAACCAAACCTGTGGTTTCACTGATATAGACAGTTCCTGGTGAGAAAACTCCTTCTACCAAAGCAAGTCAAAACCTGATTTGCAACTTATAGTCTTAGCAAGTTGCTAGGGCCACTGAGAAGTTAAGTGACTTAGGTGTGTGTGGGGGGGTGGTTCAGATCGAGTATGTGTCAGAAGCAGGATGTGAACCCAAGTCATCCTGACCAAGGACAGCTCTCTATCCTCTACACCACAGTTCTTTGTCCACAAATTGAGATTCCTAAAGCACAAGTCAGACCAAGTCACTCAGATGCTCAAGAAGCTTCAGTGGCTGTCTTGCCTCTAGGATAAAATACACATTTTTTGACTTTTAAAGCTTTTGGTTCCCACCTACCTTTCCAGAATTATTGCATGTTACTCTTCATGCACTCTATGCCCCAACCAACCTAGCCTCCATGCTGTTTTCCAGCATTCCATTCCATGCATTTCAAAGGCTGCCCCCACTCCGCTCCTTGCTGGGAAGTCACTGCTACTTTCCAAGCTTAGTTCAAAAGGTACCTCCCACAGAAAGCCCATCTTGATTCTTTCCTACCTCCCCCAACCCCCAAGTTGCTAATATCCTCTTTCCAGAAATTACTTTGCACATATTTTTCATTTAATTTCCTAAGTATATTGTCTCTCCAATAGAATGTAAACTCTTTGAGGTAAAGGTCTATTTCATTTTTGCTTTTCCTTAAGAGCCTAACACAGCATCTGGCACATAGCAGGCACTTAATACTCACTGAATGAATGAATGTATTACTATCTAGCCCTCATTTCTTCCTCTTTTCCATGAGTATTGCCAGGATTGATTTTGTCAAATGCTTCAGTGATTGAGTTAGAGGCAAGACAGTGCAACAGAAGAAGCAACTGGCTTTGGGAGTCAGGAGATACCTATGTTCAAATCCCAGATATTTACTAGCTAAAAGACACAGGCAAATGGCTTAACTCCTTTGAGCTTCAGGTTCCTCTTTCCTGTAAAACAGATATGAGAATCATCTACCTCACAAGGTTATGGGAATCAAATGCCATGATGTACAAGAGAGCCAAGAGTATACTTAGAAGTGCCATATAAATATCATCTATTATCATACCCTAGTCTACTCTCATCAAAAAGGAAATGTTAGTGATTTTAATGAACTGAAGTTGGGCAGCACACTAGAATTATGAGTCCTCCTTCTTTCCTGCCAACTCCAGTAGCTCACAGCATTATCGCCTTTGAATTCATACCCTTTTTCACATTATTGGTACACGAAGGTTGGCATTCTCAGTATACGGCTGTAGATTCTTTGAAGATATAATCAGATCAATTTGGAATCAACAACCTGGTTTGGCTGTTGAAAGTAGTACTTGGAATAATGGGATGAGAGTGAATGGTTGTGCAGGTGAACAAAAAAATCTCAAGAGTCATCTTTTTAGGTCTACTGAGATGAAAAACAAAGAGACAAACAAACAAAGCCTTCCTACAGCCTTTCTTAAGGACTGGAATGGGATTTTTTTTAAGGTAGTATTAGCTAAAAGCAATACCCCCATTTTCCAAGCTTCTTTTGTACTCCCAAAGCACTTTCATATATCTATTACTTGCTTTCTTACTCAGAGCACTCCTGGTAGGTAAGGAAAAGGTGGTGTTTTTCTTCCTATGAAACAGATAGGGAAACTGAGGCTCTGAGAAGGGAAGGGGCTTGCCCAAGGTCACACAGCTATTGGAAGGAGCCTGCAGTTGCCTAGCATCATTTCCCTATTAGCTAGGTGGACCACTAAGGGAGCAGCTATTCTTGAGGCCTTGAGTAGAATGCATCCAGCAAAACAGCTCATGAAGCAAAAAGAACACTAGAAGGCAAGAGATGCTAGTTCTAACCCCAGCTTTACCACTAATTTGTTGTATGATATTGAATAAGTCATTATTAAACCCATTCCAGCTGTGGGGTGATGGGCAAGTCACTTAACTTCCTCCTGCCTCAGGCTACCTTTCAGACTGAAAGGTACAGAAGAGTTGCTATTCTACTTTAGTAAAGGAAGTTCCACACACAGATGAAATCACAGATCTAGATAAAAAATTGCCTATTCTCCACCCAGATACCCAACCCATAGGCATTGAAAATTCAATATTTAAACATAATGAGGCAGAACTCACATGTCCTGCTAAACCTATCCCTCCTCCACATTTCCCCATTTCTGTTAAAGGCACCACCATCTTTTCTTCCAGTCAACCTTTGAGTTGCCCTTGACTTTTTACTCTTCCTCTCACCTTCTATATCCAATTAGTAGTAAAGTTTGGGCATTTCTACATTCACATAATCTTTCACATTCATTACCTTCTCTCTACTCACATAGCCTTTACCCTAGGTTAGGTCCTCAACACCTCTTATGTAAATTAATGTAACAGCCTCCTTCCTTCCAGTCTTTCCTCTTGCCAATCTATCTGCCATAATGTTGCCAAACTGATATTCCTAAAACACTCCTCCCCCACCAATCAAAAATCTTCAATACCTTCCAACAGCCTTCAGGATAAAATATAAAGCCTAGTATTTAATACCCTCCACAATCTTGCTCCCATTCTTATTTTTTTATTCCCTTTCATAGACTCTCTCTTCTATCAAACTGCCCTACTGGACACTCCCTACACCCTTCCATGCCTTCACACAGATGGCTCCCCACGTTTTCAATGCATTCCCTCATCTTGGCTGCCTGTCACACTTAGCCTCCTTCAAGACACAGCTTAGGTGTCTCTCTCCTCTTTCTTTCCTTTTTCAAACCAAACACCTTTATTTGAAATGCACAAAATAATTGAATAAAATGGGTTCTTAATAATTTATGTGATTGTTTATTGACTTGAATTATCCTGGTATTTGCTTTGAGTTTTCCCACTGTGTATGTTTGTTCGTGTGGTGTATGCTTACATGCAAATGTATTTCTAAATTCAGCCTTAGAATAGTATATTTAAAGAAAGTTTCTTGGTAAGGGAAGTACATGTGAAGAGTGTTTAGATTAACTAGGATCTTGGAAAAGATGCAGGTCATTTAGGGATGAACAAGAGTAGAAGAAAATAAGGTGACAGAAGAGGGGTGGAACATGTTCCTAGTACGGATGTCCTCAGTAAGTACTGAAGAAGGGAAGGCTAGGACATTGGCTTTTATATAACTACTAAAGTCTGGCCAAATATTTTTTTTTTAGCTATTTATACCAGAAACACAATCAGAAGTCTTCTAAATAAGAACCAGAAATGTCTCCACCCCATACCTTTTTTCCAAGTCAGACCTGATGACATCTGCACTCTCCTATTCGTCCAGGGCAAACGGTTAATCCCAACCCTGATAAGCTACGAGGTTCCAAAAACCTTATTGCTGCTATTATTTTGTTCTTCATATTCTGATTTTTTTCCTCCCTCCTCTTTTACAAGTTCTGTTTACAAAGTTCTGTTCCTGGTGCAAAGACTTTGCGTTATTTTATATATGCTTTGTACTTACTTATCTGTGTCAGTCAATCAGTCAATAAACATTTATTAAGTACCTACTATGTGCTAGACACTGTGTTATGTTCCAGGCATACAAAGAAAGGCAAAAGACAGTTCTTGCTCTCAAGGAGCTCACAATCTAATGGAGGAAAATATGAAAATAACCATGCACAAGCAAGCTATAAACTGGATAAACTTGCAGGTAAGCTCAGAGGAAAGGCACTAAAATTATGGAGGATCAGGAAAGGTTTCCTGTATAAGGTGGAATTTTAGCTGGTACTTGAAGGAAATCAGCAAAACAGAAGGCAGGGATGAGAAGGGAAGAACATTCCAGGCATGGGGCAGAGCCAATGAAAATGCCTGGAACTGGGAGCTGTAATATCTTGTTCAAGGAACAGCAACAAGGTCAGTGTTACTGAATCATATGGGAGTGGTATAAGGTGTAAAAAACAGGTGATGTTGGAGGGCAGGTTATAGAAGGCTTTCAATGAGGATTTTATATTTGATGCTGGAGATGATAGGGAGCCGCTGGAGTTCAATGGGTGGGGGGAGTGGGGGGGGGGGAAACATGGTCAGACTTGCACTTTAGGAAGATCATTTAGACAGGTGAGTGGAGGATAGACTACAACTGTGGCAGGGAGACCAACTACAAGTCTACAAATATACATGCTATGTCCCCCAAGTGGAATGCTAGCTCCTTGGGAGAAGGGATCCATTCATTTTTTGTCTTTGTATCCTCACTGTCTAGCACAATGCCTTTTACAGAATAGGGATTTAATGTCACTTGTTGAGCTGAACTGGGAAATGAAGAGGTTTATGACTTATTCCATGAGTCAACCTCACTAACCACAGACTTAGAAGAAATGACCTGACTACAGAGATGATCATCGGTGCAGTGGGTAGAGCCCTGGGCCTGTGTGATCCTGGGGAAATCAATTAGCCAATCTGAGCCTCAATTCCTTCAGCTGTAAAATGGGGATAATATCAATAGCACCCACCTCCGAGGATTGCTGTGTGGATCAAATCAGATTTTTGTAAAGTGTCTGGTAAGACAGAAGCTGCTTACTAAAATGCTTATTCTCCCCACCTTCACTCTTACCTCCTTCATTCAATTTGATATCACAAACACACTACCCACACTCTGACCTATGTTCCAGAAGCAAACAGGTGGCACTCTGTCAGTTCCAGGAACTTGGAGACTAAGCCCAAGACAATATTAGGAGTACAATCCTAGTTACAAAAGCTGACCTTAAGGCCACGGCCACTGTCTGATGTCAGAAGGCTGGACCACACAAGGATTTACTCTTCACTTCCTACGGTACGGGGCAGCAAGGTGGCACAGTGGATAGAGCAACAGGCCTGAAGCCATCTTCCTGAGTTCAAATCTGGCCTCAGATACTAGATGTGTGATCCTGGGCAAGTCACTTAACCCCATTTGCCTCAGTTTCCTCATCTATAAAATGAGTTAGAGAAGGAAATGGCAAACCACTCCAGCATTTTTGCCAAGAAAACCCCAGATGGGGTCAGAAAGAGTTGGACGCCACTGAAAAATGACTAAACAACAACTGAACCCTACAGAAAGGAAGCAGGTAAGAAGGACCCAAGTTCCTCACTGCTTTTTCTGACCATGTTTTTTCTAAAGGTGGTGAGGTTGCCAGTGCCTTTGCTTTTGGCCAAAGAATTTCCCCCATGGTATGACTCAATCTTTGGTAGCTGTCATACAGCCACCTCCTACTCACAGGCACACACTGGCATTGGGAGACAGCATGTAGACGTTGTTCTCACACAGTGGGTAGATGATGATGGCCTTGCCCCAGTATACCAAGTGGGCAGCAAGCTGGAAAACCTATAGAGACACAAGAGGCAAGGGAAACAGGAAAAATGTAAAGCAAACTGCAATCTAGGTCTCACTCTAGGTGAGAGGTGTTTGCTAGAAGTCCAGGAGAACAGGCGATCCTCTCTACTTCCTCTCAGGGGGATTATCACAAGTCTCTGAAGAGCCCCCTCCCCCCCATTCAGAGACAACATGGGGCACGTAAGAATGAATCAGAGTTTCAAAAGAAATAACATGTTTTCAAGGCTTGTTTCCTATTTTGTACCAATTTTTACATTTCCAACTTCCTACCAGGTCCCAGTGGGCAGAAATTGTGCAGACAGACAGTACCTCCCCCTAACTTGGAGCCCTGGATTTGTGCCTTAAACAGATGAACTTGAAATCTGCTGTTTTGTATTATCATTTCCTGTGTAGTTCAACACACTCCTATTTTTAAAGAGGGTCATATTTTTTCAATCAGAGGTCCCTGCTATCCTGGCCTCTTTTAAGGGAAAGGGCTGGCTTCCTTATGACAGACCATTTGTCACCGAGGCTATACCACAGTGGTGGGAGTCATGAGACATGCGGTCCTTCATGGGGATTCAGGCTCCATACAAAGACAATGTCAAGCCTCATCTGAATTAACACTATAACTCTACTCAGGACAGAGTAGGTTTAGCAGAACACACAAGCACATGCAAGCATTTAGGGAGTTTTACCACACCACAGTTGTTAGTTTGAAATACCATAGGACATGTGTTTAATTAAAAAAAAATCTGTTAATTTAAATTATTTTTGTTTTAAGAGGATTTTTTTTTTTTGAGAAATCCATGACAGTCCTCAAGATAACTGAAGACAGCCCAGGATTGAGGAGACAGTAGGATTAGAAATCCTTGTCCTAGAAAAACCGGCAAATGGTGCCAAGGTTTTATATGATAGTCATTTGAGAGACTACTCAGACAAACCTCCCACCCAGGGAATGGGTTGCCACCACATGGTAGCAGCTCCATAATGCCCACTGACATAGCACTTCATGGTTACAAAAAGCTCATTTTATATTTATAGCAGCTCTTTTTGTGGTGGCCAAGAATTGGAAGTTGAAGGGATGCCCATTAATTGAGGAATGGCTGAACAAGCTGTGGTATATAAATGTGATGGAACACTATTGTTCCATAAGAAATGATGAGCAGGTGGGCTTCAGAAAAACTTGCAAGGACTTACATGAACTGATGCTGAGTGAAGTGAGAACCACCAGGAGAACACTGTATGCAGTAACAGCTACATTGTGTAATGACTAACTTTGATAGACTTAGCTCTTCTCAGCAACGTAAGGATCTAAGACAACTACAAAAGACTCATGGAAAATGCTATCTACATTCAAGAAAAAAAACTATGGAGTCTGAATATAGACAAGCATACTATTTGCTCTCTTTTTTTTTTGATTTCTTCTTTCTTCTGGTTTCTCCCATTTACAACAGGACTAATGTGAAAATATGTTTAATATGAACATATATGTATAGCCTATATCAGATTGCATGCCATCTGGGGGAGGGGAGAGGGGAAGAAAATTTAGAACTCAAAATCTTATGGAAGTGAATGTTGAAAACTAAAAATAAATAAATAAATATTAAAAATTAAAACAGAACAAAAAAGGCTCATTTTAGCTCATTTGATCTTTTCCCTATAAGGTAGGTAGTATAAATATCTCCATTTTACATAAGAAGAAACTAAGGTTCAAAAATGTAAACTGACTTGCTCAGGGTCACCAGTAAGGGCAGAGCTGGGATTTTACCTCAGATATTCTCATTTCAAGACTAGTGCTCCTGCCACCACCTAATAGGTGAGTGGTCATTTGGCCTCAGTTTAAATACCTCCAGGAAGGAAGAAATCACTTTTTTTTTTAAATAAGGAAACACTGTTCTGTTATTGAATGGATCTCATTTTTAGGGAATTCCTCTTTACAGTAAGTTGAAATCTATCTCCCTGTACCTTCCACTCAAGTATCCTTCTTATGCTGCCCAAAAAGAAAAGATTAGGGACTCAGTCTTCCATCTACTGAAAGCAAAGGAGGTTGTTTATGCAGTTTTACTCTCCTGTGGCACTTATTTATCCCAAAAGAAGCCCCACTGAAGGGAATTAGAATGAGCAAATTAAAGAAAGCCCAAGCCACCAGAGATCACTTTCCTGTGGGAAAGCCCTTTTATAGTTGCAATTCTGGGCATGTCCAAATTTATAAGGGGGAGTCAGGGCTAGGAAGTGTACTTCTTATTTTTATGGGAGAAAGATCCTTACTTTAAATAGACAAAAAGATAGGGAGGGACTCTAATTTACTTCACAACCCTGAAGCCTAACCAAGTTTTTCTTAACTTATATCTATTCTCTTCTTAGTCTTGCATTTGCATGCCTGTAGGCTATCATATTTCAATTTATACTCTCTGAAATGTCTCCATAAACAGGTTAAGTATATTTAAAAGGGAACTAAAAGGTGCTGGCTGTCTTTTTCAATATTTCCAGTGAGCCAAGATCTCATTGATATAGGCAACTCCTTTCAGTGATGAAGACCAGAGCCTTTCATGCCTTTAACAGATGGTCTTAGTGAGTTGCTGTGGCAGAAAAATTCATCACTTGGTGACAAACCACTTGAAAATAAGCCCCTCCAAACTTAACTAAGCTGGGTCTCTCAGATGACAGTCCACTGATGAGCCTTTGCTCAGTTTGGTGGGATCTGCCAAAGCACGTGCTCTGCTGGCACAGTTAAACCACTATGCCATTAGGAAGATTCAAAGGACTTCTGTTGAGGAAAGTGCAAAGTGCTGGTCAAGCTTGCGCTCATGCTCTCAATTCCTCTTTCTTGCCCATTCCCCCTCCATTTCTTCATTCCCCTCCCATTATCTCTCTCTCTCTACACACACACATACACACATATGCAATTACCATCATTTAGTAATCTAGCAATTCATTAATCATCACTCTTTCTTAATAAAAAATAATGAAGATAATGGTGTTAAACCCCAAGGCAAGTTTCTCACTAGCAGCAGGTTTTAACCTTGGTTTGGATACATTGATGACTACTGAGTGCACCATCTGAACATCCTAGACTACACCACTTGGATCTTAACAACTGAAAAAAGGGTAGGGTTGAGAGTGTAGCCTGTATGTCTTAAAATCACTCATGGAAAAGCTTTAAGGAAGATACTGCGACAAATGTTGAAGGCAGCCAACCTGGACACTTAGCATAGAACCTAACTCCACAAAATCCCAAATGAGGGAAGTGACTGTCTGAATCTTTCAAAGTTCTTCTCCTTTTAGATGCGCTTGTTCTATAAAGTTTTCAAAGTTGTATATTCCCTATCAGAGTCGGGGAAGTAGATGAATGCCTTAATTCACAAGAAACAAAAGCACCAGAGGTCAGTTCAGGACATAGGCCCTCGGGTGAAGAAGCCATTTTTGAGGGCTTAGACTTCCAGACAACCATGGTGGCAATCAATATTTTATTTATTGGCAATGGTGGTATTAAAAAAGGACACTGCAGAAAAACAAACAGTAGCACCAAGGTAAGGAAACCTTTAGTGAAGCAGCGGTACAGATCAAAGGGAAAAACTAACCATAAACACTGGGGATTCCTAGGACTTAGAGTTGTCTTTAGGAAGATGGAGGGTCAGGGCCCCTTAACTAGAGAGTAGGTTCCAGCACTAACAACTTATATCAAGCTGCCATTCATAATCAGAGTCCCAACACATACACAACCAGACGCAGTCAAACAGAAAATTTGAAAAACTGAAGGATTGTTTGATGAGTGATTTTGTCTTTTTCTTTCTTTTTACTTCCTTAATTACCTTATTTATGCTTATAGCCAGACATTATGGATATGTCACAGCTACAACCACATCCACAGAGATGCCCAGGGACCCCCCCCCAACATATTATCTTCCAATTGTACCCCAAACCTATCATACATGTCCCCCTTCCCCAAACCCTCCATTGTTCCCCTACTCACAAATGCCTTACAAACATCCCATCCCCCATACAATCACCCACTCCCCCCCCACACTACCAGGTAACCACCCCTCCTGTATCTATACACTATTCCCATATAACCCTTCCACACACACATGTAATCCCCCATACACATACCACAAACACAGATAAACATATTCAGATACACACACAACATCCCCATATACTCAAGCATATACACACACAAACATATATAGATACATAGTCCCATTGAAAGATAAATGACTTCCTAAGCCAATCAACAATTATCTGAGCATTTACCATGAGACTAGTACAATGCTGTACTGTAATTCAATTCATTTAATAAATACATATTTTGTACCTGTTATGTCCAGAGATGTGTCTAAGTGATTTGGGAGAAACAAAGATGAATAAGACATGGTTTTTGCACTCCAGGACAATGAAAGCTGGAAATAATTAATTAAGCCCATGGACAACAGATCAATAATAGGTTGTTAAGGGAATCTAGGTAAGCTGGGGTCATATCTTTAACTACATAAATTGGATATTCCTTTTTTTTTATTTTTAGTTTTCAACATTCACTTTTATAAGATTTTGAGTTCCAAATTTTCTCCCCCTTCCCCAAGATGGCATGCAATCTTATATAGGCTAGACATGTATAATCGTATTAAACATATTTCCACATTAGTCATGTTGAGAAAGAAGAATCAGAACAAAAGGGAAAAACAAGAAAGAAAAAAAAAGAAAATAGTATACTTTGATCTGCATTCAGACTCTACAGTTCTTTTTCTGGATATAGATAGCATTTTCCATCATGGGTCTTCAGCAATTGTGTTAGATCATTGTATTGCTGAGAAAAGCTAAATTGATCAAAGCTGATCATAGCATAATGTTGCTGTTACTGTGTACAACGTTCTCCTGGTTCTGCTCACTTCACTCAGCATCAGTTCATGTTAAGTTCAGGTTTTTCTGAAATTCACCTGCTCATCATTTTTTACAGGACAAAAGTATTACATTCACATACTACATTTTGTTCAGCCATTTACCAATTTATG